GGGGGGGGGGGGGGGGGCGGTTAGGATTTGTACAGTAGGGGTTTCGAATTCGCTGTTCAAATGCGGCATTCGTCACCTGCTTTGCAGGCGACTGGTATGTGTTTGTATAAACAAGACAGCACCTCTGCCACAAGCCCAATCATTCCATCGCCAACTTCTATATCAACATGGCATCATAATCAGCCTTATGATCCATACTATATGTTATATCACATTACCAAGACACCCAAATATGAAGTCTTGTTGGGAAACGTTCGCGCATGCCAAGGACCGGAATCCCTTCCTGGCGACGAACTTCGATCTCTGCCCTGCTCCAGCACAACAGGACGGGTCTCAGCTCGTCAAGAGCAGCCATCGTTGTGGTTTCGGGTTCAGGTTTTAGGGTTGGGTGACAACGGCAGCAACTACAACAGCAACTCCTACTCCTGCTCCTATGCCTGCGCCAGCGCCTATGCCTGTTCCTCCTTGCACCCGAAACCCTTCAATGCATACCACAAGCCCTCAGCCCCGAACTCTAAGACATTCTGTTGTGCTGCCACAGACCTTGAATCGCCGAACCCGAGCCCTAAACCCCAGAGGCCCAAAGCCCTAAAGCCTTAAATCCGTAAACCCTATGTCCCTGGCAAGGAGCCATCCGTGGACACCTGGCTTTCGGAGCACGGCGTGGAGAGTCGCTTGGCGTGCAGCCAGCTCTGCAACCCGAAAAACGTGCTTTGGGTTTCGTAGGGGTTTAGGAAGTTTAGGGGGCTTAGGCAAAGCCAGTCCTAACAGGAACACTCATGAATCCCGGGTCTTAGGAATGTCCATCGTCAGCTCGACTTGCGTTGGGCAGTGATCTCTCATGGCGATGAATTATGTGTGTAGGTGATGCTCTTTGTTGGTCGGTTACGCCCGCAACTCACCGCCGGCGGGCCCCAAGACTCCAAGCTCTCCAAACCCTCCCAAAGGTGGGCTTAGGGTCTAGGGTTTAGGGCTTAAGGTTTAAGGTTTAGGGTTTAGGGCTTAGGGTTTAGGGTTTAGGGTTTAGGAAGGTTCAAGGTTTTCAGGGTCTTTTCTTGTTGCATCTTCAGTGAATTGGCGCGCTTCAGCAGATCATGACGCACCTTGAAACACCCGAGTGTCACGAGGCGGCTTGGCCGACGAGCCAAGTCTGCCAACGCTTTTAGGGTATAGGTGTACGGATATACAGTGGGTACTACCTTCACTCTGTAGCCTCTGGGTTAACTCTAATTTGTTTATATATTATATATAGTTTAATTAAGTACATGTAGCCGTTAATATGGCCCATAATCTAGATTGTTGCAGAGGGGCAGCATGCCCAAGACATCCAGGCAACAGGTCGTTGTTGGGTCAGCCTGCCCTGCCCTGCATAGTGCATGAGTTGACGCCGGACCAAGCATAGTAGACTAGCTTGTGCAAATTGCCTAATCATGTTCCTCAGGGCTCCTTGTTGCAAGTATACCATAAAGAAGCCCCAAGCCCTCTTCCGATGATTACGGCAACCGCAGTACTGGGAAATCTCATCAGGAGCCCTCCTGTTTGTACATGCGGAATTTGATGCTGGACGTTACGCGATCTTGGTGGAACGCTCCTTTTGCAGCTCTCTGTGCAAGAGCAGCTCGCACGGACCCGATGTTCCCAAAACCGTCAACATGTAAAACCGTAGTTAACCCCTACTAGCAACCCTGAATACTGTAAATCCTATGCCCTGCACCCCTACATTCCAAGGTGAGTCCTCTCTGAGGAGTATCCATGGCAACTTCCCGAAGTTGCCGAGGCATTTTCAGTTTCAGAGTTTAGCAGTTTTCATCTTCATACACGTCCCAACCAGCATCGCGTCCAAAGGCGTAGCAAGGATAACCCAGCAGCAGCGGTACTTTTTGCCGGCGAGGACTCTCTGCTGGCTGGCAGGGGAGGGAGGGTAACCTTAGGCCCGAAACCCTGAAACCCTTGAATCCTTGACCTGATATAAGCCCAAAGCCCTAATCCCTGTAACTAATCCTAAGCCCAAAGCCCTAAAGCCCATATAAGCTATATAAGCCCAAGGCCTTAATCCCCCGTAGTTAAGAATATGCCCAAAGCGCTAAAGCCCATATAAGCCCAAAGCCCTAATCCCTACAGCTCATAATAAGCCCAAAGCCCCAAAGCCCATATAAGCCCAAAGCCCTAATCCCTACATCCAATAATAAGCCCAAAGCCCTAAAGCCCATACAGGCCCAAGAACCCTAATCCTATAACTAATGCTAAGCCCCAGCGCCCTAAAGCCTATAAGCCCAAAACCCTAATCCCTATAATTAATACTGAGCCCAAAGCCCTAAAGCCTATATAAGTATAAGGCCCTAATCCCTACGACGAATAATAAGCCCAAAGCCCTAAACCCCATACAAGCCCAAAGCCCTAATCCCTATAATTAGTACTAAGCCCACAGCCCTAAAGCCCATATAAGTATAACGAATAATGCCAAAGCCCTAAAGCCTATAAGCCCAAGAACCCTAAAGGCTCTGGGGTTTCCGGGCCAGGCCGCCGCAGCGACCCGTGGCCGTAGGTGCCGGAACGTGGCACCTGCAGGAGACGGTGCCGCGGCATCGTTGTGCAAGTAGTGTTTTTCGGCTGATAGGGTTTTGGGTCTAGGGTTTAGAGGACCCATAGAGTACTAAGATGTATGGGTTGCAGGCTTCAGGGTTTGAGGTTTACAGGGTTTAGGTTTTGCACTGTATAGGGTTCAGGGTTTACAGGGTTTAGGGTTTTGGGTTTCAACGGTTTACACGCGTCTTAAGTTCATTCTGGCCTCTTCCGTGTTCATTCTTGCTCAACGGCTTATGACCAGGTGAGTGCAGACATAATACTCATCACAGGGGTCCCCTGAAGAACGCGCGCGTGGCGTGGTTTTGATTTTTGTCGGGTACATGTAGGCAAGTAGTTGTCAGAGCATAGATTCTGATTAGATTGCAGTAGGAACCTTTGTGCAACGACGCTGCCAACTCGAAGCAGACATAGCCTTGGTGTTGGACACAGGCTTGAGTTACAGAGGTCGGAAAGTTTGACAGGTCCCGTGGAATTATAAATATGTCAGAATATACTCCGCAGACCCCGCTCGAAGTGTCAAGGCCCAAGTATTCCGGGTTTAGGGTTTAGGGTTTAGGGTTTCGAAGATACCGAGAGAGTGTTTATTGACTTTGGCCCTGAGATACTTAAATAGGGACGACTTTAAGGCCAAAGTATATACTAATTATTTGGGCACATGGACCCCTTAAAGCCTAAGCCCTAAATCCTTATGGTGCCCTAAAAGAACCCTCAAAGGAACCCTTTATGGGGTACATGGACCCTTAAAAACTAAACCCTAAACCCTTATGGTACCCTACAAGAACCCTCAAAGGAACCCTTTATGGGGTACACGGACTCTTAAAACCTAAGCTCTAAACACTTATGCTACCCTACAAGAAAAACCTAAGCCCTAAACCCTTATGGCACCCTAAAAGAGCCCTTAAAGGAACCCTTTATTGGGTACATGGACCCTTAAAACTACCCTAAACCCTAAACCCTAAACCCTAAATCCCTAAACCCTAAATCCCTAAACCCTAAACCCTAAACCCTAAACCCTAAACCCTAAGCCCTGCAGATGCTGCAAACACCCCGCAGCGAGGTGCGGGGCCGGGTTGTTGAGGGCTTCCAGGAGTCCTGTGATGGAGGATTTGGGATTTGGGATTTGGGGTTTGGGGATTTTGAGGGATTTAGGGTTTAGGGAGTTTTAGGGTTTAGGGCTTAGGGATTTTTAGGGGTTTAGGGTTTAGGGACTTTTTGGGGGTTTGGGTTTAGGGATTAATAGGGTTTAGGATTTAGGGATTTTTAGGGGTTTAGGGTTTGGGGATTTTTAGGGTTTAGGGATTTTGGGGATTTTTAGGGTTGAGGGTTTAGGGATGTTTAGGGGTTTAGGGTTTAGGGATTTTTAGTGTTGAGGGTTTAGGGATTTTGGGGTTTCGGGTTTAGGGATTTTGGGGTTTAAGGTTTAGGGATTTTGGGGTTTAGGTTTTAGGGACTTGGGGTTTAGGGATTTGAGTTCTAGGCTCGGATCTTGGACTTAGGTTTACAATTTCGGATTACGGACTTAGGAGATCTGAAAAATCAAGCCACCCTAAACCGACATTGCAGGCAAGCACTTGCCCCGATCATGTCCGACTGGTTAGTCCCAAACTCTAAACTCTAAACCCTGAACCCTAAACCCCAAACCCTGAACCCTAAATAGTGAACCCTAAACCCTTAACCGTTAAGCATGACCAGAGCCTGAGCAACGGCTTCTGGATGTCGCGAAGTTGAGGAATCAGGTCCCGCGGTGGGGATCCTGATTATACTATACTATACTATACACTATACTACACACTATACTATGCACTATACTGTTTACTATATACTATGTACTATAGACTATACACTATACACTACATACTATATACTATACAAGAAGCCCTGAGCCCCATTGTCGAGGCCTGAAAGCCCGAACTGATTACACCGGCTTAGGGTTTAGGGGTGTAGGGTTTAGGGCACCTCAACCCCCAACCCCAACTCCGCCCCCCCCCCTAAACCCGAAGAAGCGACGGCTTCGAAAGGACCTCAGCAGATTTATAATCCCTAACCCTTGCAACCCCTTAGCCCCTGCCCCCTGAGCACCCTCAACCGTAATGGTCTGGCTGAAGCTCTCATGTAATACCATTATAATTAACCAAAACCCCAAAGACTTATTCTAGTTCCATCCTGTTAAAGGCCGGATTATGCACAAGATTGTACAACATACCCCAAAGCCCTTTTCTAATTCTACCTGTTCATGCCTCATTCTAGAGCACTTGAGGTCTGGCTGAAGCTCTCACCCCATACCCTAAACCTAAACCCTTAACCCTAATCCCGAAACCTTAATTCCGAAACCCTAAGCCCTAATCCCTAATCCCTAAACCCTAAACCCGAAACAACCCTAATCCCGAAACCTTAATTCCGAAACCCTAAACCTTAAGCCCGAAACATCCCGAAACCCTAAACCCGAAACATCCCGAAACCCTTAACCCCAAACCCTCACCAGGTCTGGCTGAAGCTCTCCGTGCCCTGGCCCTCCTTGAACCTGGCTGCGCAACAGGCGCGGCTGGCGCTGCAGCTCGGAGCCTTTCTGGGGGTTCCTGGAAGGGGTTCCCTTGAATGAAGGGTTGCTATATAAGGCTTTTGGGTTCGGGGTTCTTAAAAGGGGTTCCCTTAAAGGGTTCCAATAAGGCTTTTGGGTTTGGTGTTATTTAAAAAGGTTCCTTTCACTGGTTCCTATAAGGCTTTTGGGTTTAGGGAAAAAGGGTCCTTTAGCTGGTTTTTGTAAGGCTTTCGGGTTGAGAGTTTGAGGTTTAGGGGCTTCTGAGGTTTAGGACTGATGTGATCGGCTTCGGGGTTTAGGAGTTCAGGGTGTCTATGCATGTTGGTTGGTTTTTAAAGTTGCATTGCGGCTTAGATTTTCTGTGGTTGAGGGCTTCGTAGTCGCTAGTGGTAGTAACGGTTTGTGATAGTGGTAGCTATGGTAGTTGCAGTTGTAGTTGCAGGAGTCAAAGAGGAACACGAGCAGGAGTTGTGGAAGTAACCGCATACACCGGCGTCGCTGTTTGTTTCGTATTTTTTCGTGGTAGTCGTAGCCATGGCAGCACAGCTGCAGCTAAAGTAGCACAAGCAATGGCTGTAGCACTGGCAGTTGTAGTTGTAGTTGTCCTGTGATCATTTCCATTGTTATTGTTGTTCTTCTGGTTGTTGTTGCTGCTGCTGTCGTTTTACCACCAAAATCAGTGCAGGCTCCATCCGTATCTGCAGAAGCACCAATGTAGGTCCGACTGATGTTTTGCAGTAGAGTCCCTGCACAGCTGTCCACTTACTGTAATCCCTATTCTCACTATTTACAGCAGCTCACTAGAGCCGCAAACCCTAGGCCATGAACCTTCAGACGCCCTTCCTGAGTACACCGAGCATCCCCCAGCCCTAAACTCTAGACCCTAACGCCTCAAAGACACCCTTGTAGAGCCCTGCAAAGAGCCCCAGCCCCGAGCCTTAGAATTTCTGTTTTGGGCTTCAGCAGCCTCTTAAACCCTAAACCCTAAACCCTAAACCCTAAACCCTAAACCCTAAACCCTGAACCCAGCCCCGAGCCTTAGAATGTCAGTTTTGGGCTTTTATACCCGAGGCTGGCTCGTGTGCTGTCGGACTCGCTCAACGAAGTTTCCTACTTGGCTGAGCAAGCGTCCCTGGACCTGCGTGCCTGGGATCGAATGGTATACCAGGACCTCCAAAAATATGTAGGATACTATTATTTTTTTTGGGGGGGGGAGGGGGGTGTTTGGGCCATCATTTTACCTATTTTTGTGTTGGTTTAGGTAAGGGTTCCAGAAGGATCCTATGAGGGATCTGTAGGGGAAATTTTCCCTAGACTCTGAGCCTTTTATCCAGAACCCTGGGCCCAACAACAAAGCAACCTGAAGCCCCAAACCCTAAACATCTAAATGGCAGTTTCCAAAAATTAGGGGTACCTTATGTTGGGGTCCTTATCATAAGGATCCTACTATGTAGGGTACTATATTAGGGTCCCCTATTTTCGGAAACCTCCAAATCCTAAGCCTGAACCCTAAAGGCCCTAAAGCGACATATATCCTAGAGCCTTAACCCTACCCCTAGGCCCCATAGTAGTTCCTTTTTGGGGGTTCATATTTAGAAGCCTATAA